AGAGTTACAAAATTCGTTTGATTCTGTTGATGATCTGCCAACCTTAACTCAGTTTCATAAATTCTTAACTGACCGCGCTGGTGTCTTGGAAGCTATCAATCGTGGTAAATCGGATAATAATAACAAAATGCTAAGGGAGACATCTCGTCCTAGCCAGAGTTCTCATAACCAAACGTCACATTTTAATAATAAACACAACAATAGTTTCACGAACAAGAATAATAAGCCATCATTCGTTAAATCTTTTATTAGCAATCAACAAAAAACACAAAAAAGAATTGATTGCGTTATTTGTAATGAGTCACACAGATTATACTCATGTCCTACATTTAAAAACAAAGGTGTTAGTGAAAGACTAGCTGATGTTCAGAAATACAATCTGTGTTATAATTGTTTGAGAGAGGGACATCATGCGGCTGACTGTCCATTGGGTCCTTGTACTTTTAAGGACTGCAATGAGCGCCACAATTCGCTTTTGCATCAATCGCGTGCAGTATTATCCACGAACTCAGCTGAAGTACTATCAACTTTTTCAGAGCCATACACAGATCATGTATTTTTATCTACCGTTGTTGTTGAAGTGTCGAACCCGCTGACCAAAACCACGGAGAAAGTACGCGCTCTCTTGGATTGTGGTAGTCAGTCTTCACTAATAACAAAAAATCTAAAACATAAATTACAATTAAATACAAATAAAACAAATGAAATAAATATAATGGGTATAGGCAATAACCTATGTCACAAGGTTACTGAATCCTGCAAGATTACATTAAATTCTACGAACAATCCATATAGCATTACCTTATCCTGTTTAGTGCTTGATGAGCTCACAGGAGAGCTACCCAAGGTTCCTATAAATATACAACACTTTACTTTACCTGATTATATAAAGTTAGCCGACCCTAGTTTTAACGTACCAGCGAAGACAGACGTTATACTAGGAGCTGACATATTCTGGGATGTTGTAGGAACAGAACAATACTCCCTCGGTCCCAAGAACCCAAAATTAATTAATTCTAAATTTGGCTGGCTTGTAGCTGGCCCGATGTTTTCAAGTTGTTCTAAATATATACAATGCAATCATTCAAGTAGTTTAAATAAATGTCACTCAGATGCACTTACAGAAATTGATAAAAAATTGACTAGATTTTGGGAAATCGAAGAACTTCCCCAAAGGTCTAGTTACTCCCCAAGTGAAAGATTGTGCGAGCAACATTTTATCGAAAATACCACTCGTTTAAGTTCAGGTAGGTTTTGCGTCAAATTGCCTTTGCTTGATGACCCTAACACTCTTGGCGATTCATACAATTTAGCCAAAAAACGGTTCTTAAATTTGGAAAAACGATTTCATAAAAATCCAGAGCTCAAAATACAGTACGCAGAATTTATTAATGAATATGCCAAACTAGGTCATTTATCCGAATCACATAATGCAAAACCCACCCCAAATTATTTCCTGTGTCATCATGCAGTTTTCAAGGAAGAGAGTGAGTCTACCAAAATCCGAGTGGTTTTCGACGGTTCGGCTCCCTCTTCTTCTGGCCGCTCCCTCAATGACATTCTCATGGTTGGCCCTAATAAGCAAGACTCTCTTTTTTACATTTTGATCAGGGCTAGACAGTACAAATTTCTTCTCACTGCTGACGTTGAGAAAATGTTCCGCCAGGTGGCATGTCACAGTGACGATCAAAATCTACAACTGATCTTATGGAGAGAAGACGAGTCACAGCCAATCAAAACGTACAAGTTGAATACCGTCACTTACGGCACAGCAAGTGCGAGCTATTTAAGTACGCGTTGCCTGTGGCAACTAGGGGAAGAATGTGGGGATAAATTCATCAAATCTATAATACAAAATGATTTTTACGTCGATGATCTCATCACTGGGTCAAATGACGAGGATGAGTTGCGCCATATAAAAGAGCAAGTGTCTAATGTTCTAAACTCAGGATGTTTTCCATTACGGAAATACAAAAGTAACTCAAAAAACATTTTCCATAACAACACTGATGTACAACGAGATAAACTAATTACAAGTGAATCGTCGAGCACTCTCGGACTAGGATGGAACCCTTCTACTGACGAACTACACTTTCCAATTAAATGTACGTCAGTTAATCGACAGCTAACAAAGCGTATTATAATGTCAAATTCTTTAAAAATATTTGATCCTTTAGGTTTATTGAGTCCTTGCACAATTGTACCCAAGATAATGCTGCAAAGGCTGTGGCTCCTCCGAGTGAACTGGGATGACCCTGTTCCTCAGGATATTCAATCCTCTTGGGACGAGTTTGTAAACAATTTACATTATCTAGCCAATTTATACATTCCAAGAAATGTACTTTGCGAGAACGCAAACGTTATTGAAATACATTCGTTCAGTGATGCTTCGCAATGCGCCTATGGTGCTTGTGTTTATGTCAAATCTATAAATCAAAATAATTCCATTAGCATTAAATTGTTATGTTCAAAATCTAGAGTGTCACCTTTAAAACCCGTAACAATTCCTCGTTTGGAACTATGTGCCGCGTTGCTCTCTGCCAGATTGACCAAAGCAGTGTGCGACGCCATAAAATATAAACCTTCTCGCGTGGTCCATTGGTGTGACAGCAGCGTAGTCCTCGCATGGATTCACAGTGTACCTAGAAATTTAAAGGTATTTGTAGCAAATCGCATAGGTGAAATTTTGGAACTTACGCAGCCGTCATCATGGCGATACGTACCCACAGCAGACAACCCAGCTGATCATATTTCAAGGGGTGTTACTCCAAGTCAATTGCCGGAGTTAAACCTGTGGTGGCACGGCCCACATTTTTTGTACAAAAATGAGTCAGATTGGCCCTTATTAAATTCTAATATTATAAATAAGGACAACTTACCTGAGGTTAAAATCAATCTTCACACTGATGTTGTTGAACCATTAATAAATTTTGCGAATTACTCTTCATTTACCAAACTCCAACGCGTGTTAGCTTTCATCAAAAGATTTATTTATAATTCTCAGAATAGATGTGTTAAACGTACTGGCTACTTATCCACCAATGAGTTAAATCAGTCATTCTATAGCCTCTGTTTCATGGCGCAACAGCAAATATTTCAATTAGAGTATAAACTTTTAAAACAAAACAAACCGTTACCAAATAAATCCAAAATTTTACCATTGTCACCTTTTGTCGATAGCAATAATTTAATTAGAGTTGGTGGCAGAATTCAAGCTTCCGGATTTTCATATGAAAGGAAACATCAAATCCTTCTTGACTCTTCCCACATTCTAACAAGGTTATTTTTTTGGAAAGAACATGTTCGTCAGATGCACGCCGGGCCACAACTATTGCTAGCTACAGTTCGGGAAACAATCTGGCCTATCAACGGTCGTCATCTGGCTCGTCGCACAGTACGCAACTGTGTAACATGTAGACGCTTCCAAGGGAAAACCCTTCAGCCCAAAATGGGCAATCTCCCTGCACAGCGCATTACCGTCGATTTTCCCTTTGTTTCAGTTGGTCTAGATTTTGCTGGCCCGTTCTTTATCGTTAACCGAAGAGGACGAGGAGCAAGATTGACGAAATGCTACATGTGCTTATTTATTTGCATGCGCTACAAGTGTATACATTTAGAGGCTGTAGGCGGTCTATCCAAGGACGATTTTTTGATGACATTGAAGCGTTTCATCGCTCGACGCGGTAAGCCAGTGGAAATATTCTCCGACAACGGTCGTAATTTTGTCGCGGCGGCCAAGGAGCTAGGATCATTTCTAAAGACATATAACCACTTACTTTCCGACTTTGCTGCACTAGAAGGAATACAATTTAATTTCATCCCTGCTTACTCCCCTCATTTCGGCGGCATTTGGGAATCAGGTATTAAATCCGCAAAACACCATGTCAAACGTGTTATAGGCAATTTACACCTCACCTTTGAGGAATTGCAGACTTTGTTCGCACAAGTGGAGGCAATATTAAACAGCCGGCCCTTATGTCCAATGTCCTCAAATCCCAACGACTTTCTTCCCCTTTCTCCGGGACACTTTCTCATCGGAAGACCGTTAACCACGTTCCCATCTCCACTAGTAGAAGAGACGGATCCCAACAAGCTAAAGCGATATAAAAGATTAGAGCAACTCCGACAGCATTTTTGGCAACGTTGGCAAAACGAGTACATCAATGAACTACAAAGAAGACAAAAATGGATGAGGGAATCTCCTCAGCTTAAGGTCGATGATTTAGTCCTGATTAAAGAGGAAAACCTGCCGCCCCTGTGTTGGAGACTTGGAAGGGTGACAAAATTGTATCCGGGACCTGATGGCGTGGTACGAGTGGCGGACGTCAGAACTCCTACAAGCTGCCTTCGACGAGCTTTGGTTCGCTTGTGCCCCCTTCCCATTCCAGAAGACGATCCTAAGTTGAAAGAGAATCCTTTCAACGGGGGGAGCATGGCGCAGCTGCATGCGCCTACGCACAATGAATAGCAATATCAAGTATTTCTACAAGTGGCGGCTCATTAAATTCAACAGAAACATAATGACGTTTCCAAATAGTTTTTGTGAATCTACCCGATAGTAAATATATTTTTTTCTATTCATCACATCGAGTCATTACAACATCTCTGTACTTAAATTTACAATTTTTTTAAGTAGGTATACACGTATTTCAAGTATTTTCGGGTTTTATTTACAAACCAAATAGGACCCTCTTATGTCTCACAAGTAGACACTATGCAAGAAGGAAAATGTATGAAATATTATGAAAAGTGTGTGACTCTCCAGTCATGCTTCGGCACGAACGGGCCGGCTCGACCGGAGTGAAGACACGGCCACACAGAATACTGACGTGAAGCAACGCTTGTGTTGTGTTTCATCATATGAGTGAGGTTACCAAAGGTCCAATTACAATTACCATTTGTAATTGGATTGGTTGGTACTCATTTAGATTACCTTAAATGGAAACAAACTCGTGTTAAGAATAAATAGGTGTATCTATACAGAAATGAATCAACTAATTATATGACGATCTGTAAGATAAAAGTAATCGGGGTTTTTATAAAAATCGATTCCGGCATCGGTACAATGACTTCATATTCCTAATCTATATCGATGACATCTAATAGTGAACGATGTCAAATATGTTTTGTTTAATTCATTAAACAAGCATAATTTTTGTTGTGTGTTATAATGTGTTTTTGAAAGTGTTTAAAAATGGCTTTATTTACCTTTCTAATTATCGCTTTATTGGCAGGTGAGTTGAATATTACATTGTCAATTAGTTTTATTTTGTTTCTCGACCTCCATCTTGTTTTTATCGAATCTAATATTTTTATAGCACAACGTCACATGTATTATTTATTTTTATCTACGATTGATAACATTAAATAGTTTGTGAGAATTATATATTATGGCATAATCTAATTTTAGTTTTAAGTAAATTATAATTATATAGCACCATGCACAATCAGTGGAATTAATGTGGATTTTGGAACCTAAAATACTACACTATAATTATGTTCCTTACTTAATACTCAAAATATAACCTCAAAATTAGTGTACCTGGATTTTACGTTTTTAACTGACAACTAACAAAACACTGTTATCAGATAATAAATGATAACAATGTGATTTTTGTACTAATCGTTATCTAACAAGTCCAGTTTACGAGTATTTGGAAGTAATCGATATAATTTACGATTTGAATAAAATATCGATACTTTATCGATTCTGCAAAGGATATGCGTAAGCAATGAAATAAAAGTATTATTGGGTTTTTCCATTTTGAATATTCCTAACTTGTTTGGAAAATGAAAAAGGAAATAGAGAAAAATGAAAAGAGGAAAATCCTTTCTATAAATATAAAGATAAAATAAATAAAATTATAAATATAAAATAAATATTAAAATAAAGGTAAAGAGAAATAAGTTTATTTTTTATAATAATAATAAATAAACTTTATCATAATTTAAGCTCGTCTCGTCGATTCTTTATTCCGATTGTCTAAATCGATGCAAATTTTGTAAATATAAAATTACGGAAAATCATTTAAATATTCGATATTCTTTTATCTATCCGTTTTAAGTTTAGCCTTATATGATTAAACGAACATCAATGAAGCGTGGACTTTATTATCCATAGTTAGATATCATTTTATGACGAGGGCTTTGGTGACGATGATGATTAATTAGTTAATATTATAATCATAGGACAAGAATTTTATGAATGTAATTTCTACTGAAATTAAATATACCTACCTAGTTTTTAGTAAAATTTCTGTGGCGATTGGCGACTGGGCTTCACCCGGTTGTACAGTCTCTTTTTTGCGCCTTCAGGCTTAATTCATTCTGTCTCCTGCAGTAATTCACCGAGGGAAGTGGAAACTATATTTTTTTTCTTCTCCTCTTATAATATCTTCTGATTCACGTCGTTGCGGAAACCAAGACAGTTACCTACCTAGAATATTAGTCAATGTCAATTCGTGGTCAAAGTCAATGACGTCAATTCAGCAAATAGTACGTATTTTTGTTGCGCAGATCATAATAAAATAAGTAAGTTAGCTATTAACTAGAATTGGTTCATTTTCAATCTCCTAAGGTGCAGGTATTACTGCCATATTGACTTGGTTTTAAAGGAAATATGTACCACGACCCAATACTCCCGCCGTCTTGAATCTCCAAATTCATAAACATCAATCAATAATGGAACATGTCCCAAATCTAATAAAAAATTTCCGGAAAACTGACACTTATATATTACATGAGTTACGTTAGTAAATCGATGATCAATTCTGTATCTCACGAGAATCTATACCTACATAAAAATGAATCCCTTTTTCTCTTCGACACGGCATTACGCGTGAAGAAACAGAAGCTAGTTATAATATAAACATTACAGGAGCTGTTGACCCTGGGCGTGTCCGTCGTATAGTGGGAGGTAGTGACACCACCATAGACAGGTTTCCTTCCCTCGTGCAAGTCGAGAGTAGAAACCTATGGAGCGGCTTTTGGTGGCAATCCTGCGGTGGTACCATTCTCACTCCTAGACATGTGCTGTCTGCTGCTCAGTGCTTTTTTGGTCCGTAAGTAACATTCCAAAAGCTTTCAATTGTCGAGTTTTATAACACAATATAATCAGAAACTCGTCTATAGTTGAGATCCACTTACTAATAAGGGATCCGTACCTGTACCATAAAAAGGATATTTCAATTATCCTTCTTAAAAGGCCGGCAACGCACATGTGAATTATCTGGTGTTACGCTTATCCATAGGGGCGCTGATCGCTTACCATTAGGTGATTTGTAAGCTCGTTTGCATCCTTATCCACAAAAAAAACTACACTTTTCATTCATTGCCTCATTTCATTGCCTCATCGTTTATAAACGTAGTTGGAATGAATGAAGGAATGAATAAATGAATGAGATTCTTACTGAAATTAGGATATAGAATTTTGAAAAGAATACAGTGAATAAAACTTAGTATCCACCACCAATCTACGTACATTTTACCCTAGCAACAAATAAAGAGAATTTCATTATTTTCAGATGGTACTCCCCAAAAAACCGTCGCATCAGAGCAGGATCCTCATATCGCAATGCTTCTGGTGTTATCTACTTCATAGAAAAAGAGATCAACCACCCTAACTATGCCTACTTTAATACTTCGTCCGATATATCCGTGCTTCGAATCCAGACCCGGATAGAATTCACTCCGGTTATCCAACCCGGTACAGTCGTTGCTGCTGATTTTGTCTTCCCTGACAATATACCGGTGACGGTTGTCGGATGGGGTCATACTGCTGTAAGTAATTGGTCTTTGTCCTTTGGGGCTAGCATGTATTTTTGAAATCGTGAATTGGTCATTGTGTAGGCGAGCCCATAATCTGTTTGTACCAGAATTTAAATCATCTTTTATTCATATTGTATAATTTATTTTATAATTCTGTACCTTGTTTGATTTAGAATTACACAAATTAAATGAAAAAGAGTAACCTATGGAGTTTCTTGCTTCTCCGTAGGAATCTACGCCTTGGAATGAGCAACTAGCTTCACTTCTAAATTTTTGTTGTTGCCGTTCAAAAGTGCCATCCTGGTCTAATTAAAATAAATGATTTTGACTTTGACTTTGTAAAATATTTAGCTACTACATAAACTTTTTTGCAGTACTACGGCGCGTATTCAGATGTTCTTCAAGAGACTACGGTGATCACAGTGAACCGAGAACTATGTGCTAAACGCTACAGATCTCTGAGCACGCATCGTAACATTACAAACACTATGCTCTGTGCTGGGGTCTTAGGTGTCACCGGCAGAGACACCTGTACTGGAGACTTTGGGGGTCCACTTTACTACGGGCACATTGTTATTGGTATTGCCACTTGGGGTCATCAATGTGGTCATGCCGATTTTCCTGGGGTATACACGTCTGTAGCTTCCTATACTAGATGGATTGCTGATGTAGTTGTATAAATTATTTTAGCTTTTTGTAATAAATAAATCTTTTTATTTCAATGCAGCTTCGGTTACTCATTTTACTTATAACCTTCTTCTTACATTGTCTTTATTTTTAACATTTTGTTCTGTATTTTCCATTGGAAAAATACCAATACGATGCAGAATGATAAGGGCGTGCTTTCATAATTTATGATTATGACCGATAAGTTACGTTACTCACCAAATTTTGAGTAGGTTATTGTGATTGTGTTGTTAACACTATTCTAGATTTCTTTATAGGTTTCTGAGACAGGTTAGGTGGTGATGATGTCTTTGCCGCTCTGCCACTGGGTGAATTCTCATCCCTTCACATTTTAAACTAATATATCTGACATATGTATAGTTTTAATTAATTATAATAATTCTTCTTGTTCCTATCCTAAGTTATTTTGGTGTGGCATAATATACATATCTATGTATTTTTTCATTTTCCCAGTATATATGTACATTGAGTATATTTCATGAGTCTGTGTGAAAATTCTTTAAAACCGAAGAGCATAATATTTCGCTCATCCTAATATTGTAGTTTAAAGCATAGTATGCCCGTAAAATAGATCTACGCGACATACAATATACAAATAGAGCATGGTGGTACGGTATAAAAGTAAATCTAAATCACTTTTACAAGGGATTTGACAGGTTTTATATAAATAAAGTCCAGTATTAGTCTTGCAATAGTCATCGATTGAAAAACAAACAGGTAAATTTATTAATACTCCAATAAGTAAGCACAGAATAAATT